ACATGGGGAAGGAGGGAAAGAGAAAAGAAAGAAGAGGGCTGTCTCTACACAGTCGTTTCAAGGGATATGAAAGTGAAGGACGTTAACACCTCCTTGCTCTCTCTTTCACTTCAGAAAGGTAATTCCCCTCTTACGTCACTAATGCTACAACAGAAATTAGAACTCACAGTGGCCCAGGAGTTGAGGGTATGATAAATTAGCTTCAACTGCCTGGACTGTTTACATACAATGAAAACAAAAAATTTCTCGTTGACTTTCAATTAAGGCTTTCCCTCTGTTTTTTAATAAAGGCACTAAAGCAAAAGCCAATTGAAATGCATGTCTGTAATCTGTAACAATTATGCCAAATCTTGCATAAAGTCTTTGAGGATCAAACAAGAATAGGCAGAACAGACCTACAAAATGGTCCACTGGTCTGTCGCATTACTTGCTATGAAAGTCACTCTGTTAATCGAGAAAGGTGTCTGCTTGGGGACTGGCTTTCTCTAGAGCATCAAAAGAAACCCTGAAATTTGCTGCTTTCAGAACCTTTTCTAGCTTCCAATCTAAATACTGTACACATTGCTACTTTATGAAAATTATCATACCAGGCCTACACTGGATGCAAATTATTTTGGGGGGATGTTAGGAGTGGGGACAATGTATTCCTGTATAAATGTCTATCGATATCTACAGAGGAAATCTGTGCCTTTCATCACCTGGTGTTTGGACATTGCGTTTAGGCTGAAACTTTAAATTTACCTAAGAAAAAGCCCCTTGTAAACTGTAAGGAAAACAAACAAGCTTCTAGAAATGAAGCGACACAGTGTAAGTCATGGTAGCGTTATTTGCAAGGACAAACTACTTCTGCATAATGAGGTTACTGACCTGCACTGTTTTAGAGCAGTTTTAAACATGAGGGTGAGGCCCACTAAATTTCAGCCTGCAACAGTAGCTAGAGAAACCAGGGCTGATCAATAAACAGCCACCATTACAGGCTCTTGGGAACCTTCATCATAATGGGAGCCATTATAATTTTGGTCAGGTACAGAAAATAAGGTGACCTATACCTAACGTCTGTTTATCACTGGACTCTCATTAGCAATTGGAAGCCATTGATTAGCTATTTTTTGAAACCTGAGCTGGTTTTCCATTTCTCTCTTCATGTAATAGCCCTGTGAATAAATGTGTCCTAGACTTCAAAATGAACATGGGGAAACGAAAGAAGTAGAAAGCTTCCTCCCTGGCCAGCTTTTTATTGAAGAGAGAAGCAATTACATGACATTCCACTAAAAATTCTTGACCCAATCAAGTACTGAAGCCCGAATGCCGATTTCCCTCTTTCGTAAGAAAGAGCAACAGAGAAAACAAAGGTCATGGACCATATTGTGATTCTTTACAGCTGTTGGAGACAGACAGTATGATGCAGTAGCTTGATTTGAATTAAGCCAAATGATATGAAAAGCATCAAGGCTGGCAAGCAAAGCAACAGAGCCTCAAAGAATTTAATCTACCTTGAAGGTGGGAGTACTTTTTGTATTGATGGCAGCGCACCAGGACAGAAATGAGTCCTTTAATGCAATGACTCATTAATAGCCTTAAGATCACAATACATAAATAGGATATGTTGATCAAAAAGATAGCTCTGCCTCTCCTATTGCAGGATGGCCAATATTTCTCTACAAGTTATTTCATCGATAATAAATAGACCATGTCAATGGCAAATGTACAACAGGGGAAGCATAACCCATTATGAGGTAATGGATATTGCTAGAGGTTGCCTCATTACCTTCACGGGCTGTGTGGCTGGTTTTTCCTTGTACAAATGCTGCCCTTTAGACAAAATCCCTTCCACATCCGGCTGTTTAGCTTGAACTGCTACTTCAGTTTCCTGGGGAAAAGAGCACATACAGTGCAGATTAACTTCACAGTTAGCAATAAAATTACTAAATTTAAATATACCCTTGGAGACTCCACATGTATTGCAGATCAATTTCTGCACAGTACATAGGGGCACAAAGCAGTTTTCAGTGCAGAGAAAAGAAATGGAGGCTTCCCTGGTGGCGCACTGGTTGAGAGTCCGCCTGCCGATGCAGGGGACACGGGTTCGTGCCCCGGCCCGGAAGGATCCCACATGCCGTGGAGCGGCTGGGTCCGTGAGCCGTGGCTGCTGGGCCTGCGCATCCGGAGCCTGTGCTCCGCAACGGGAGAGGCCACAACAGTGAGAGGCCCGCGTACCACAAAAAAAAAAAAAAAGAAGAAATGGAGGTCTTTGTGAAACACACCAAAGTTTAAAAAATTTAACCCAAATCTTCTTGAGTTATGTCATAATACTATTATATAGAAACAGAGACACTTTATATTTTTCCAAAAAGTAGAATGCAATAACGAGAAGTATGACCCATGAATATGATTAATATGGATAAATACTAATGTTAGCTTCAATAATCTCAGTAATCCTAATGTCCATTTTACTCCACAAACCTCTTATTTTAAGAGGGTTCTTCTCGGGACTCTGGTTCCCAAATTTTATTTTGAAATACAAACCAAATAAATCTTTCCACATCACTGTCAAAATTATTAACTTTCTTTCCAAAAAGTAAACACTTAAAGCACAGTATCAAGGCTTATTAATTATTAAGCAGTCAAATTAAATAGGCTTTTTGAGGAATGATTAAATTATCTTTAAAAATCTGTTTTTCCTTAGTCTGGAGAAGATTGAAGCATGACCGTATGACCGAAAAACGAAACAAAACACAACACAAGAAAAAAACATCCTCTTCAGATATATGAATATAAAGTGCTTTGCTACTGGGTGCTGTCTAGCTCTCCTGAAGAGCGGACAAAGGAAACGTGCACAAATTGAAGCTGAAGGAAGTGAAGTTAAGTATTACAGAAGACTTTTTGGATGTAACACTTGTTAAACACTAGGATGGAGTATCGATTAATCAATGACAGGTGTCAGTCAGGGCCTGGCAATCTTCCCCAGATGGCAACTCCTGATTAACACATAGCCCTCTTCCTCCCTCTCCTACCCCGTAGCCTCCCAGCACTGCTGTGTATATGTGTCTTCATGCCACTGTTTCCTTTATCTACTGTGTTTGTACCTGTCCTCTCTCAGCTCCTCTGAGCAGGGTGTCCTCTGAACCCAAATTACCGTAATCTTATATGGCACAGTAGGATGTCCTGTAACTTGTGAGTGCTCATCACATGCTCTTGAGAAGGATTATTTCTTCAGTTCTTATAATAAATAGCAATGGGAGGTAGGCACTTTCGTTAAAAGGGTCCATAACATGAAGACTAACTCCATGTGTTAAATGGGTACGTGTGCAACACACACACACACACACACACACACACACACACACACACATCACCTTTAGAGACAATAATTCTGGGAGAAACAAACCTAGAATTGTAACTATCAATTTACTCTTTATGATAAAAAGTTCTAAACCTGATTTTTTTTAAAAAAAATTGCAAAATTGTAACAAGTTCAAAATCGGAGTGTACTTTGTGAGGGTTGGGTAATTCCTTCTTCCTTTAAAAATGATTTATAAGTACACCCAGTGTAAATTCTACACCTTCAGAAAATGAGCACAAATAGTCTATAATTTTACCAGTTTCAGGTATGCAGTAAATGACGAGCACTAACACCTTTCTCTCCCTGCCCCTAGTCTTCAATCGCAAATAAATAGTTCCAAAGATCACAAAGAATCGATGCCACTATTGAGAAGGCACTGGCAAATAACCAAGATTAAAAGACTGCATTTGATATGACAAGAAGTCCCTCAGGAAATAAACACACAAATTTTAATTCATGAAAGTTTCACTGGAGAATGAACAGAAACAGCAGCAAGGCTGACATGAGAGCAGCCCCAATATTACTTAGAGCTCCAAGTTCTAAGGTGGTGCTTATTAGATGCACTGTGGAAAAGGTGGCATGCCATGTGAAACGTCTATGTTTTGCACCTGCAGAAAGTAAAATATTTCCTCTTCAGGCCACTGAATTTGCCCTAGATTTAGCCCTCTGATGAATGAGCACTGTAAAGTCACATCACTTCCGTTTATAGAAATGTTTCCTAGTAGCATGCCCTTTCATCAACACTATTGCCATCTCTTCGCCCTTTAATGAAATAATGGAGAGTTTAAGTTCCTGGATAAGATTTACACCCGGTCTAACAGAAATAGAGCAATGGGTGAGAGAAATCATGTTCAGCTCTTAAGTCTTTGTGGGTACTTTCCCTTCGCAATTTTTTGGAGAACTAGATATCTAATGATAGGCACCTTTGATAAACTACTTTAGAAAGAACATTTTGAAGATAAATTTCTACAATTTACCTCACTACATTTACTTGTAGTGTGAATTTATTAGTTGAAAATAGGTCACTTATTGAGGCTCGAATTTTATTGCTTGAAGGGTCAACTGTAGTAAATACAATTAAATTCCCTTACAATGTCCCTTAGTATAGTTTTCTTAAGTTAGTGTGAAAAAATACACTATGACAAGCTGATCATCACCATGAAAAAAATGGAAGTATGTGTGAGACAAATTTAAAAATTTTGATATCCCTCCATGCAATTAAAACTTGACATGGAAAAATTGAAAAGCAAGCAAACAAAAAAGCCCAGCCAAATCACGTGACTATGCAAAGCTAAGAAAAAGCTGCTGAAATCATTAGCTGTGCTGAAAATATCAACAAACTGCTATAGTGACTGCTATAGTGATTATGTCACTATAATAATATTAACAAACCAGAGTTGCTAAAACTTTACCATATGTCAAAACACTGTATGTTTCATACATTTTTTCCTCATACTTACACTCCTACAAAAAGGGTATTATCTGGGACTTCCCTGGTGGCGCAGTGGTTAAGAATACACCTGCCAATGCAGGAGACATGGGTTCCATCCCTGGTCTGGGATGGAGCAACTAAGCCTGTGTGCCACAACTACTGAGCCTGCGCTCTAGAGCACACGTGCCACAACTACTGAAGCCCGCGCGCCTAGAGCCCGTGCTCCACAACAAGAGAAGCCACTGCAACGAGAAGCCTGCGCACCGCACCGAAGAGTAGGCCCCGCTCGCCGCAACTGGAGAAAGCCCGCGCACAGCAACGAAGACCCAACACAGCCAAAAATAAATAAATTTATTAAAAAATAAAGGGTATTATCTAATTTTGCAGATGCTAAAACTGAGGGAGATTAAGTCAATTGTCCAAGGCCATGTAAGCTTGCAAATGGCAGAGTTGATATTATTACCGGGAAGTGTGGATCACTAAACCTCCACTTTATCCCTCCTTTGTTGAGTATAGCGTGTATGTGTGTGTGTGTGTATGCACATGCTAAAACTGGCAGCCACATCTCTTACTATCATGTTAATTTTTTTCCTCTTCTTTAACTCCAATACATTCTATAGTACCCTTCCAGTGTATAAATGAGAGAAAATCCTGCCTCTTCCCACCGGAAAATAAATTCTTACATAGCTTTTAAAAAGCTCCAAGGGTGTCTCTTTGTGGGTTTACAATTGCCAAACTGATGATATCCAGGTCAGAGAATTGGTTTGAGTAAATCTTTTATCTCACAAATGGCCTCACGTCTTTATATGATTTAAGATAAGGTGAAGGAGGTCACCACTAAAATGGAAACACAGCTAATTATAGTGGCCAGTTTTTTGTAAGTAGAAAGTGTTCAACTTCAAAGAACACTCAGACAAGGAAGTCTTCATGGGATTTCAACCAAAAAAATCTCACTTCTAATAATAGAACATTTCCATTTAAGTTTTTCCCTCTGCCTTATTCTTAATATATCCCCTGCAATATAAGATTGTGCACCAGGAGTTAAGACCCTTATGATGTAACTAGAGCTTTTTTTTTTCCAACATAGTATTGACAGTTCACTAAAATCTCATGCATAATTTTAAGTATATAACTTTTATTAAATAGGTAATAGGAATAACCCTTCATCAATACTAGGAGAATACTGCAGTGTACTTTAGAAAAATCCAGCCTTGATAGGTTTTCAAAATGGAGGAATTCTCTAAGCACCTTCTTCAGTCTTATATCTTATTAGACAGCATTACTAATATTGCTGGTGGTGTTGGTCTGACGAGCAGCGAAGCAACGGTTAGTGGTAAAAAAGACTGAACAACCCCTTTGAGGATGAAAGTAGCAATTCATATGCAAATTAATGTACACTTACATTCTCTAAGAATTTGTTCATTGACTACTGTATTTCTAATTCAATATTAAACTGATTGCACACTTTTTTTTTAAACTAGAAATTTGGTGCTAAGGATAATATAAGAGAGCTACATTTTGCCTTGTTTTCCTTTATTTAAATTTATTTATATTTCTATCATTTTACTTATTGCTAACCTTAGAATATATCAATATGTATGTATATATATATCTGTGTATATATACATAAAAAAATATATATCACAACATAAAAAGGGTGGGTGAATACACCCTCTTCCCCGTTGACTTTGGGCTTTACCACATGCCTCACTTAGGTCAATGGACTGTGGGCAGACATGACTGCATGACAGCTCTGAGCTAGGTCTTTAAAGGCAATTCAGGATTTGCTAGTACCTCTAGTTCCTGCCTTCTACCATGGGAGAATAATGTATCATAAAGAAGCTGCTCTTTCAGCCTGGGTTCTGGAATGAAAAGACATTTGGAGCAGATCCACAGCCCAGGATGAGAAAATCTGAACTTGACCCATAGTGTAGAGTAAAGCTGCCGCTGATCTGCAGACACCTGAATGAGTGATCAATGTTTGTTCTTGCAAGTCACTGGGATTTGGGGGCCACTTGTTACTGCAGCAAGAGCTGACAATTACAATGTTATAGTGAAACAAGCAAACAAATACATGGCTTTCTGGGGAGAAAAA